TATCGTACAAACGTGGTAGGAATGTAGCCCTTCCTCGGTATTTATTTGGTGCTTGGGAAAGTGTCAGTTATTGTGCTCTGAGTGCCCCTGGAAGGTTCTGATTCGGTTATGTCCAATACGTCTTTTCTGTGCCTGGAACCCGAACATCTATCGTCCACTATCTTCCTGGATCCACTCTCCTCGCCCTTTGTTGGCGTGAGTTCTTTCAGCTTCTGCTATGTTACTGTAACTAATCGCATATCCGCCAATTCGTGAAAGGAAATTCAAAGTAAGTCACAGTTTGACAAATTACTGTTATTATTCACAAGGGCTATCTACCTGTAACTATCCGTTGATGACAAAAACATCATTGCCGCTTTGACGAAAATTGTAGAAGAGAACTTTTTTAATATCAACAATTTTCGTAATTTGAAACAAAGATCGTAATTTTTCCCACTGGCGGCGAGGAGCCACTCTCCTCGCCCTTTGTTGGCGTGAGTTCTTTCAGCTGCTGCTATGTTACTGTAGCATTCCCTGAAGATATTAACAGTTGAAGATCAAATTTCAACTTTGTTATTAAGCATTATTTAGACATTTTTTCATGTGTAATTGGTAGCATATTGGAACACTTAAGCATTCAAAAAGAAAAATTACGATTTTTGCTTCAAATTACGAAAATTGTTCATATCAAAAAAGTTTTCTTCTACAATTTTTTAACGAAAAATCACAGCGGCAATGATGTTTTCTGTCATTAACAGATAGTTACAGGTGGATAGCCCTTGACAATAATAACAATAATTTGTCAAACTGTGACTTACTTGTTTGAATTTTCTTTCACGAATTTGTTGATATGCGATTAGTTCAGTGGAAATGCAGTAATTAGTACAGTAACATAGCAGAAGCTGAAAGAACTCACGCCAACAAATGGCGAGGAGAGTGGTTCCCGGAAGATAGTGTGATTCCAGGTGATAGTGGAACAAGTATTGGACATAATCGAATCACGGCCTTCCAGGGGCACTAAAAGCACAATAACTGACACTTTTCCAAGCACCAAATAAATACCGGCTACATTTCTACCACGTTTGTACGAACACACAGCACAAGGAGATACAAATGGAGCACGAGTTAATTAACTGAATACGAGAAGTTGCTTGATAAGAGTGGCTAATAAGAGATTACACAGGCACTAGCTTGTTTGGAGTTAACCATTCAAATGTTTGGTGTTGTATGGATTATTTATGTAAACACCAAACCCCGCAGAATTCGAGGTTATGAGACCAGGTTGACATTTCGAAAGTACGTTGCGCAGTCAACGAATCTTGTTGAATTTACTGTTTGTCCTTGTCTATCTTATTGTCACTATGTATAATTCCATGGTTACCGGAGTTTTAAATAATTACAAAGCAACAGGTATTTGCGCAATTTTAATTAGGCAGATTACCTTGAAAACCATTGCTGCCGTATTTATGATATAGTTTTTTGAAAATTTCTCAGTTTTTAATAACAATTAATTTATTTTACTATTTTTTCTGTACTCCTATAACAGCGCCAGACAACACCTCCAGAGGAATGACGCCAATTTTGAATCACCCTGTATATGTCACTGGATGTACGCATCATACTGTACGTCAGTATGTACGCATCATACTGTACGTCAGTATGTACATGTGTATGTACGTACCAGAGATGCGTTTTTATTGGACATTTTACGTACTAAGTACGTAACATATCCTATTTGGTACGTGTTAAAACGTACTAAGTACGTATCTGTGCTGTTTGGTTAGTAATTTGACAGTTGTTTTGTTGAYATTGGTGTTTACACCTGATTGTGATTTTGTTCCAATCAATCAATCGAATAAACCACTAAACCAGTATTCGAATTTCAGATTTTTGAAAATTCCGAGCACCAGTCTAGACCATAGAGTAAGATTCCCTTAAAGTAATTTAATTAATGTTAACATATTTAATCACATCTGGATCAACATTTGCGTTCTGAGTGTTACAATTGCGATGTCCTTACACACTGTAGTCTTGGTTCAATATTAATGGAAATAGGAATTTGTTAGCACCCTGTTGAGTAAACAGCACATTTTTTTATTAGTATTAATAATTGAGAGAAATAACATGTGTAGGCATCGAAATTTGGGTTCCCGGAGTATTTTGTACCTTTTAAAATTTAAAACTCCCGCTTCTAACTAGCCGATAATATAGATACCTGTTTTTTCCGTCAAAGCTTTCCGTTATTGACGGTCAGCCCATTGTGGCGCAACGCGGTGCCAAGTTTTAGCATTACAATTGAATAAGTGTTGTGTTCGAAACTGTGAAAATAAACATACCACGATACATCGATTTCTTAAAAATTAACCAGATACTTTTAAAGCCGGGCTTGAAGTCGTTAAACGTCGCTACGTAAGCGCAACGCTAGCGTTTATGTGCCAGTCCCAAGCCCGGATAAAGGAGGAGGGAACACACGCATGGTTGGAGCGGGTTCGGACCGTTCGCAGATCGGGTCTCGGGAAAGCGAGGTCGGGTCCAGGGAAGGCTGATCCGGAAAGTAGCAATGTAACAACCGGTTTTCAGACAATTTCCGGGCCGCTGAGCTGTACAGGAGTCCACCCTTGTGTCAGTCAACGTAGGGGGCTGCCCTATCAATCATCAAAAAGTCTTGAGGGTGGTAGTAGTGAGAACAAACTCGATCATGCCCACCTGGGACACAGAGACGCGTATAATCTGTAGCCTGACTCATGCCATCAATCACCTACACATACACGTACATACACAACCCACACAAACACTTTGCACATTTTAACACAACTCCAAACATGCCACGTCACGCTGACTGGCTTTCCAGAGGTGGAGCACAGCTCTGCCACAGGAAGGGCAGAGGCTAACCGGACTGTCGACCGAGGGAATGAGCAGAAATACAGAAACAGGTGGAAGAAGCGTAGAGCCTCAAGAGAAGCTCTGAAAACGCGGCGGAGGGACGGGAGTGTATTCCGAGGCGGGAACAGAAATGATTCCGCTAGGGGAGACACCCAGTCACACTGGTGCCGAACCGCCGGCGGTTTCAATTGGGACGCCTACCTCCATAAGAAGGTCCGATTTCCTCCAAACCCCCCCGACGGTACCAAAAAGTGGAACGGCAGCGAGGGATGCCAAACGGGCTGCAGGTAAACTGCGGTTACTGGTGCTTCTCACGGCATCATGTGCAGTCGAAACGTGACCGAAAGCTCCGGGGCACGCGGCACTCACCCCTGAGACACAACAGAGCAAGAGGAAGAGACCAAATAGACCAACTCCAACGGAGAGGGCGAGCAAAAGGCCCCGGAAGCTGTCGGCCGGTGCGGCAAAGGGCAGGTCATCTCTACTCGGTCACGGCGCCGCCCATCGCTGGTGGTACCGGGACCTACAGTTCGGCCCTCAGGCGAGAGCTTCAGTTTTGTTATCTCATTAAAAAGATGAGGCAGAGCATGGGGGGACCCACCACGGATCCCCTGGCCGGAGCTCCGCTTTCGGAATACCGGAAGGGCAGAGTGTGGCTGGTTTTTGGTGACTGCGGAGAACGAGGGATCGAGGGACTGGCTCACTCAGAGGTGCAGGCCGCTGGTCAAAGGAGACCTGACGTTCGCCCCAACTTCGGAGGCTGTATGGCCGGTGGATATCGGCTTCGTGCTCAGGCGCGAAGCAAATCCCGAAGAGAACACGGTGTTGTGTCCGAAAAAACTACCCGTCTTCACAACCCGGTTTGAAATAAAAGCCAGAAACTAGCTTAAGTACTTTACTTAGCAGACAAAAACACTCCGAACAAAGGAACAACTAAACAATATATATAAAACGCCACCAAACAAAACAAGGGTGTGGTAATAAACAAAGGCAGGCCTGAACACTGTGGCAGCCTGTTCGCATCTGTTTCTTATCCTTTTCACCACCCCCTTTCTTGGTCTACTGACCCACTAAGGGGACCTTTAAAAAATATTTGACCACAGAGGTGGAGGGTTGATTTTTGGCAATGGTGAATCTTTAAGGCTCTAACACAATGTTCAAATGGCTGATGTCAAGGAGTGGCTGGGCCCTGAGAACTCTGGTTGGGGTCATGACAGGTCACTGCGGTCTGAACAGACACCTACACCTACGTGGAATCGGTGATAGCCCCGTATGTCCACAATGTGGAACGGCGGAGAAAACATCGTATCACCT